GAAATGGAATACTGATAACAGTAGTACTGATGCTCGACATTTATTTATTTATTTTTAATGTATTTAGTGCAGGGTCTCACTATGCAGCTTGGGCTTGTAGTGACCCTCCTGTTTTTTATTGTAGTGATCCTGGTTTTTTTTTGGGGGGGGGCGCTGCTCAGGATGCCTTCAGGGCAGGTCTGGTTTGGCTTGAGGATGAGAGGATCGAACCACAGCATCCTGAGCCTGACTGCTTTGTTTCAGCAGGCACTTAAACACCTGAGCTAATGGGCAGGCCCCTGATCCTCCTGTTTTTTTATTCAGCCTTCCTAGTGCTGGAATTACAGGAGTGTGCTGACCCTTAAACATTTATTAAATGTTGTGTTTTATAAATATATATGTTTAGGGCTGGCCAAATAGCTCAGCGGATTAAAGCACCTGTAAGCAGGTGCAGGGGCGGGGTGGGGGGTTCCGATCCCGGGGCCTGTTGTGCCGGCAACTGAGACAAGGCGTGGTGGCACGCACCTATAATCCAGCTCTTGGGAGGCTGTAAACAGGCAGATGACTATGAGTGTGATCTAGTAGTGAGAACCTGAACACCCTGTAGACTCTTTCCTAAAATACAAAAAAAAAAGATAAAATAAATCAATATGTTTGATACTGAGGCAAGCCCAGGGCCTCCAGCACACTAGGCTGATGCTGAGCCACTGAGCGGCACCCGTCTCCCTCTTGTTTCTCAAGACAGGTTCTCAACGTGTTGCCCAGGATAACCTTGAGCTTTATGTAGCAGGCACTGCTGTGCTTGGTTTATCTTTCTGTTTTCTTCTTAGGCCCTAAGGGTTCTGGTGGTCAGGGTTTTGGGGCCTCCTTGGTTTCCTCTGGCCTCACCTCTCCCCTTCCTTCCTGAAGAGCACAGAGCAGTCACTACATGTCTCTTGTTTGGGTCTGCGCAGTCCTTGTGTCATGTTGAGACCCAAATCTTTGTCAGGAGGCTGGGGAGATGGCTCAGTGGAATAAGCGCTTCCCTGGCAAGTGCAAAGGCCTGAGTTCAATCCCCGGTTCCACCAAAAAAAAAAAAACAAAACAAAATCTTTGTCAGGAGGGTTGTGTTCCCTTTGGTGCTTGTTACAGGTGATGATGTCCCTCTGTCACCTCTGGGTACATGCACCCTATTGCTTGGCACAGGTAGCATTAGAATGGGGTTCCTGGGGTGGTGCTACCTTCTCTGTCAGTGTTAATTGGTCTGTGTTCCAGAGTGGCACTGATCACAGGAGTTGGAATCAGGGAGGCTGCTGGAGGGTTCTGGCTTGGAGGAGTGGTGGAGTCTGGGTCCTCCTTGGTTCCTAGCACATGGCATTTTCTGGAAGTTGGAAGTGAGGTGAGGGGGCACGTGGGATACTTCCTCTGGACCTGGGCTCCCAGAAAACAGAATGTACTTTATTGGGATGGGAAGCTGTTGAAGGCAAAGAGGAAAGCAGCTTGGGCCAGGGTGTGAAATGCCTGCTTGGCAGCAGAAGTTGCTGCCGAGGCGATGAGTCGCGGGGTCCGGGAGGAGTCTGGGCGCCAGAAGGAAGGTCTGGGAGGCCAGAGAGTCGAGGACAGTCCCTCAGGCGCGAGTGCAGGGGAGGCCAGAGAAATGCCTACTGCGCACTGCGGGTCCGGGCAGAAGCTTCAGGATTTGTACGTGAGGTGGTGAGTCTACCTGACGGCTCCACTTGCTTACGTAAGCACACGTGCTCAAGAGCAAAACCAGAGGTGCAAAGCTGAGAGAGGAGCGAGCCTCCCACCTGCGCCAGACACACAGTTTACTTCTGACTTATGTAATTTTTATGTTTTAAAGTCATTTTTACACTCGAGGTGGATTGGGCACCTTGATTTTCTGTTCTTTGCCTTTTTTTTTTTTTGGCAGAACTGAGGATCGAACTTAGGCCCTTGCGCTTGCCAGGGAAGCACTTATTCCACTGAGCCATCTCCCTGGCCCCTTTGATTTTCTTAAGTAAAGTATCTTGGAAAAAATCTCCAGGACATCTGAGGTACTCCCCCACTTTTTGTGGTAGTAGGAACAAAACCCAGAGTGCTCTACCCTGGGAGTTACATCCCCATCCTCTTAATTTGTTTTGAGACAGCATCAAAGTCATTAAGTTGCTTAAGCTAGCCTTCAACTTGTGATCCCCTGCCTCGACTTCCCAGAGTGCTAGATTATAGGTGTGTACCACCAGCCTGGCTGACGTGTCCCCTCTTTAACGGCTACAGAGTGTTCTCCACATGGGAGGTGAGGGTACCAGGGAGGTGAGGGGCCGCCCAGGTGCTGAGCATGCAGGCCGGGCCATCGCTGGGAGGAAGCAAGCCCGGCTCGGCTTGGGGCACCGAGGCCCCTAGAAGGCGGCGTGCAGGGCTACCTGCCGAGCCGCCTCGGGTCTGGAGAGGGTCTTCCTGGCGCTCTGGCTTGTTTTCCTCACGCCGAGGGCGGGCATTTCCCCACGTTTGGAGCAGTTTCTATTGCCTTCTGTTTCGGATGTGCGTCAGGTTGACTTGTGTGTTTTTTATTTTCTCTTAGATATGGGTCTTTTTCTGGCTTCATAGGATATTTAAAATATACCCTTATATAAAGATTCAGTTTGGAAAAAAGTTGGCTGACAGGAAATCAAATGTTTCATGTCTACAAAAATAAAATAAAATAAAACTGAATGCATACCATATTGAAGATTAAAAGGTTTTATCTATACCATGAGCTACATGCTGGCTGTGGTGGCACACCTGTAATCCCAAGACTTGGGAAGTTGAGGCAGGAAGATTGTCCTGAGTTCCAGGCCAGCCTAGGTCACGTAGTGAGCTCAAGGCCCACCTGAACTATGTAGGAAGATCCTCTCTCAGAAAATAAAAAAGCTACAGTTTTTTTCTAGTTTGTGCTTATCTTTTGACTTTATTAATGATGAGGTTTGGTCACTGTTTAAAATTATTTTATTACAAAAAATAAAATAATTTTATTTTTATGTGGTTCAGTTTATTGGGGGTACACTAGTACATGCCTAATGACTCTGAGGACAAGAAAATGGTCCATGGTGCCCCTCATGGCCTATTTCAAACACCAACTGAGCCCCTAAGCCCTGAGTAGGTAGGAGCCAGCCTTGGGTCTTGCTGGGGAGGCAGCCCCATTCTGAGGGCAGCCAGAAAGTGGAGGGTCACCCCCAAGGTCTACTTCTCAGGCTCAACCTCCTAACAGCCCACGCAGCTATGAATGCAGCAGGGGACTTGTCCATTGGGAAGGCTAGGACCTGCATGGTGCAGTCGCCTGCCAGGCCCCACCTCTGGACACATGAGATGCTGAGGGATGTTTTAGATCAGACCATGGCATCTGTCCACCCTTATTTATGTTCATCCTTTGAAATGAACTTTACAAACAGCATGTCCACCCAGCCCCCCATTCCTCTCAGTGTTTCATTAGGATTTTACTAGACTCACAGGCAAATTTAGGAAGAATTGACATCTTCAAATAGTATTGAGTCTCCCTATCAAAGAATATAGTATTCCATGCTGGTTTTAGTGGCATTCTATTGTGTCTCTGGGGGCATACCCCAGTTTTCTTACATGTTTCTCATACGCTTGCCCCATCTCTTATTGCTGCTTCTCTTTATGGTATTTCTGCCTCATCCTCTTACCCTATGTGTGCGTGCTCCAGGGCTCCCTGCCAGCTCCCAACTTTTGTGGGACCGTTTCACCATTGCCTGTTCCAACAGGAGGCTGGCTTTGGTGATAGATGCTTGTCATTGTTCAAAGGACCATGATGGTGCGTTACTGTTTAGTTGTTTTTTGACTGGTTTTGTTTTGTGGCTGGCTCAGCCTGCCTTGGGGGCAGGGCTCAAATCGCAGTCCCTGCATCTTGCCTGAGCTTGCCTAACAGATGCTTTAGACCGCTGAGTTATCTCATTGCCCCACGATGGTGCATTAGTTATGCATTGCTCTGTAACAAGTCACTCAAAACCTGGTGCTTAAAACAACAATGAAAGTCTGGGACCTCTCAATTAATAGTGGTGTAAGTGGTGGTTCCACTTGGGGTCTCTCCTGAGCTACAATCAGGCTCTTGACTGGATGCTGAACTGAGGCTTGAGGTTGGCAAGAACCTCAGTTCTTCCTGATGTGACCTCCCTGTGGGGACAGAGGAAGTGATCCTCGAGTGTCTCCCCAGTGCAAGTAGTCCAGGGAAGCAAGGAAAAAAACCACTCTCTTGTGATTCCTGATCACTTCTTCACATGCTCCTTGGCTTCAAGGGGGCTCTTCCCTTGTGGGGGAGGCAAGGCCCTGTGAGGCTGAAGTGCTCTGCCTCGATGCCTTGCTGTCAGCTCAGCCTCTGGGTGACTGCAATGCCAGCGGCTGGTGGCAACACTTCTCTAGTGAGGTCAGGAGGTCAGGCACAACTCAAGTGAGCCTGAGAAACACTCCCAGCTCTTCCTGTCATTTGGGGTGGGAAGTTTTTTCTTTCTCATTCTACTTTGGCATAACCTGAATAGCTATTATTTTAAGGGGTTAAATATAATTATTACATATCCAGTAAAGTCACTTTTAAGGAGGAAGAATCCCTCCTCAGCATAAGTCCTTGACCCCTCACTGGGGTTTCCTGTGTTGCATGGGACAGTGCCATCTTCCCTTGTTTGGAGAATGTTTGACCCCAAGTGGGCAGGGCACTGTGAACCATCTCCACTGGGCTGCATCTTCCCTTCCCTGTACCTGACACTTTTGTGGTGGGGGCAGTGGGAGCGTTAGCATGGGGCTGGAAGCCGAGGAAGGGCTGGCTTGCATCCCCCACTGGCTGACCCAGGGAACTCAGGGACTTCTCTCTGGCAAGGAGTCTCCAGGCTCCAGGGCAGGGAAGGGAGCTGTCACTTGAGGGCGGTGCTGGGGGCGGGGCAGGGGGCAGTGAGGTAATTTCCGTGATCAGGCGTCAGAGGTTTGAGTCACCCCAGGGGCAGAATCGAAAGTGATCTCTGCTCTGGCCGGTTCCTGCGTGTGCAGGGTGAGTCCCCGGCAGTGGTGGGAGGGCCTAGCTGGGGTGAGGAGGGGGCAGCTGTGCCGTGCAGTCTGGGAAGCTTGGGACCCACAGACGCCCCTGTGCAGATGGCCGGGTGAGCTACCCTTGAGGGACCCGGGACATCCCAGTGCCTCCAGCCCCACAGCAGTGCAGCCCAAGCTCCCCTGGCCTCTCCTGCTGGCTCTGGCTGCCTGGTTGTGCAGCCTTTCTCTGGACTCCAAAGTTCCCACTTGGGGTACAGGTGAGTTCTCAAATTCTGGCTGCCTCCTAGTTGTTTCCTTTAGAAAAATCAATTAGAATCCCCCAAAGTTTCCTTTAAAATTTCCCCTTAGACCTGACCAGCAATGGTTTTTTTTTTTGTTTATTTGTTTTTGTTCTTTTGCGGGACCCGGGATTGAACCCTGGCCCTTGTGCTTGCCAGGGAAGCACTTATTCCACTGAGCCATCTCCCTGGCCCCTACCAGCAGTGTGTTTAAGGGCTCTTCCCTCCCTCATGGGGTGGGGTGACACCACCTCAAGAAAAGGCCACCTGAGAAGGCCTGGACAGTGACCTCCCTACCTGGGCTGCCACTGCCAAGTCCAGGTAGGGTACAGTTGCCCAGAGGCTCTGTCTTCACAATAGGGTGCTGGGAGTTTCTGGGCCTTGCATGCCCAGAGCTTCAGATCTCACTGAGCCCAGAGACAGCCCAGGGGGGTTCTCTGCGGCCTCCAAGGCTCTCCTCTTCTACCCACCAGTTAGCACATTTTCTCCTTCTAGGCAGGGTCTAGAGACCCTCAGGAGGGGAAGGGGCTCAGCCCAGGCCAGGCCAAGACTCTGCCCGACAGTCTACTCCTTGGCCATCAGGCCGAGCTGAACTGTCCCTCTGCTGGACGAGGGTGCGTGAGCCTCTTGCTTGACCTCTACCCAATCTGCATTTCCTGTTCCAGATGTATCACCGTGGCCTGCGGTCCCAGTGGACCATCTGAGTCCAGGAGTCTTGAACACCACTCTGAAGAGCCTGGCCAGTATTGGGAATAGTGTCCCTGGGGTGTGGCATGTCGTCTGCTAGCACCTTGGCCACCAGGGGGCCGCCTCTGGTCAGGCTCTTCACCCAAGTGGACCTCTGTCTGGGCTGCTCTGGCTGCACCCAGCGCCTCAATGAGAGCACCTATGTCCTGTCCCAGGTGGCACACAGCTGCACCTGTGAGATCCTTCTGGCTCGCTTTAAGCGAGCTGCTGAGAGAAAGGTCTGGCGTGAGGTGGGCCACCGGCCGCGCTTCCCAAGGCCTTGGCGATATAAAGTCTGTCACTACTACAGCCCGGGGCTGGGTTGTCAGTACCACCGAAACAGGTGCACCTTTGCCCGCAGCCCTGAGGAGGCACTGGTCTGGACCTTTGAACTCAAGTACAACTTCTCCCGCCTGTGGCTGAAGGCTGCAGTGCGTGGTGATGAGCCCCAGAATGGGCTGTGCGGAGCTGCTAGCATCATTCTTGCAGAGTTTGGTGGCCACTTTCAGCTGCTCTGTGCCCACTGCTTCAGGGACCGCCCTCAGCGTCTCCGCCCTGTGGACCCCCACGGACAGTGCCCTGGACATCGAACATGCCCCACACTTCTGGTGCATGTCAGCACCAAGGACCACAAGCGCCAGTTCACTGAAGTACGGCCAAAGCCCCAGAATGGCCGGCCACTGCGCTACTGCATGTTTGTGGAGCGTGGGCAGCCGTGCCACCATGGGGCAGCCCGCTGCCAATTTGCACACAGTGCTGTAGAGATGGCTGTGTGGGAGGCTGAGGAGCTGAATGGGCTCCAGCGGGAGGCCCTGCGTGTGCTCCCCATCCTGGGGCAAGACAAGCACGTGGCCACCCACAGCCAGCCCTCCCCAAGCAGCCAGCCCCCTGAGGCAGAGCTGTACTGTTACACCTGCCTGGTTACCTACCATTCTCAGGAGGCCTTTGAGAACCATTGCGCCTCCCTGGAGCATGAACAGATGGTGGCCTTTGACCAGGCTGTGCCCTGGAAGCACCGTGCCCCACCCATGGGGGTCTCCAAATTTGAACTCTGCCCAAGGTAAGGATAGTTGGGTGGGAGCCTAGAGGTTCTGGATGGACCACCTTTGGCACCAGGGCAAGGGGGTTCACTGGTTCTGGGCTTCCCTGCTACCTGCTTTATGCCAGGCTGGTACCACAGTGGTCTCTGGAGGCCTGGGTAAGGAAGGGCCTCTGAGAGTGCTGTCTGTGTTGGCCCTGAGGACATGGGAGTGGACAGCGGATGGAGTCTTATCTGGACCAGGGCTGGGCTGACGGGGTCCTGGCCTTGGATCTCACCCTGTGGCTGTACCCAGTGGCCCTGCTGACTTCGCTGCCCTCTAGGCCTGACCTCTGTGAGTATGGGGACATCTGCACCCAGGCACACTCAGAACAGGAGCTGCAAGAGTGGATCCAGCGAGCAAAGGCCATGGAGCTGCGGGAGCAGGCAGCCTGGAAGGACGGGCTAATGTCCTACCAAGCTCGGCTGCTGGCTGAGTACCAGCGCAGCAGCCAGGTCCTGGTGGTGAGTAGCAACCATTGTGGTGGGTGGGGAGAGGGTCCAGGGTTCCACTGAAGCAGCTTTTGTGTGTAGATGGCCGAGACAGTCCACGGCGTTTCTGTTACCTGCCATCAGCCTCTAGTCCATCGGGCCCAAGAGAAGAAGATCCAGCACAGTTGGGCATTCTGTGTCCACTCTGAGGTAGGGTTCATACAGCCCTGAGGATTCAGGCATGGGGATCCAGCGCCAGGCCAGGTAGAAGGGCACCCATGGGAGTGGAATACTGCTGAGCTGACAATGTGGCTCCACCTTGGTGTCTGTGTAGCATAGACCAAGTCTGTGGCCTCTGCTTCATTTCCCCATCCAGCTGGTTCACTCTTTGGAGTGAGCAAGTTAACATAGGAAAAGATCTGCAGGGCTGGGTGCCTTCAGAGTGGGTGGAGCTGGTGACCCTGAGACCCCTGCTGGCCCCAGGCCCTCCCCCTTCACCTCCTCTAACATCCTCCCGGCTTTCTGCAGCTTCTGTGGCCACACTTTGCATAAGAGGAAACCAGGGTTCAGAGAGGCAAAATAACCAGAGGGTGCTCCATCTAGAATGTGCCCGGAGCCTCCTTTCAAGAGGATGGGAGGCACCTGGTGTGGTGGCACACACCTGTAATCCCAGCTTTCAGGAGGCTGAGGCAGGAGGCCAGCCTGGGCTGCACATTGAGCTCAAAGCCAGCCTGAACTGCATAGAGAGACCCTTTCTGAAAAGCTGGGGGAGGGTATTGGGGGTTTGGGAGGGGTCTGGGTATCACATTGATGGGTGGGATGGGCTGAGGGGCCTGGCTCACATTCAGTCTCTTCCTGTAGGCCCCTCTGCTACACGTGGCCTTGCTTAAGCAGGAGCCTGGAGCAGACTTCTCCCTGGTGGCACCCTGCCTCCCACCAGGCCGGCTCTATGCAACTGGGGAGCGCTTCCGTGTGCCCAGTTCCCGAGCAGAGTTCCAAGTGGGAGTGCGAGTGCAGACCACCTCCTTCGGCACCTTTGAGCAGTGGGTGGTCTTTGACTTTGGTCGTCGGCCAGTGCTGTTTCGGAAGCTGAGGCTGCAGCTGGGCCAGGCCCACTGCTCAGCACCCTGTGTGAGGCCAGCACCTAGCTGTCCTGAGAGGCTGGAGCGCTGGCACCCTGGCAACCGCCATGTGGTGCCTTGTATGGAGCAGACAGCTGAGCAGGCAGCCCTGATGGCCAAGTACAAGATGCCTACCCTGTCCCTGAATGCCAGTGACCACAGCCTGGCCTCAGAACCCATTTCTGTCACCAGCTATCGGCAGATTATGCATCACTTTCTCTATGAAGAAGAGGGTGCTCGGCAGCAGTTGGTGGCCAAGTGAGTCAGGGCTGGCAGGTGGAGGGGTGGCTAGGGTTCTCAACAGGAGCCAGCTCTGGGGCCGTGGCCCAGTGTGCTAACACAGCTTCTCTGGTATACCAGGCTGACCCTGCGAGGCCAGGTGTCCCTGAAGGCTGCGCTACAGACTCCAGCGCTCGGCATGCTCCTTGCACCGCCAGGAGCCCTCTATGCTGAGGTCCTTGTCCCCTCCTCTCTGACGTCTGACACAGACGCGGGCTTCCTTCTGAGCAGGGAGGTCAGCACAGCCCTCGTGGCCCCTGTTCCTCCACCTGACGCCACTGTGTTCGAGGTGCAGCTCGAGAAGCGAGCCATATCTGAGCAGACATTGTGGCTGCTGCTGCCCAAGCACTGCTGCACAGCCCTGGGGCTGCAGGCTGAGGGCAGTCTTGTCTTGGAAGTGCAGTTCCAGATGGACCCAATCAACTTCCGGTTCTGGCACCAGGCAGTAGACACTTTGCCCGAGGAGTGCCTGGTGGTGCCAGACCTGCCTGCCTGTGCTCTGCCCCGCCCTTGTCCCATCCCACCCTTAGTGCATGGCAATGACAAGCAGAAGCTGGCCATGGGGCTTATTGCAGGCAGCAGCGCAGGAAGCACAAAGCCTGTCCCCCCGTTGCTCATCTATGGCCCCTTTGGCACCGGCAAGACCTACACTCTGGCCATGGCCACGCTGGAGGTTGTTCGGCAGCCCCACACCAGGGTGCTCATCTGTACACACACCAACAGGTAAGCCCGCAAGTGTGGCCTGCCCCTGGCCTTGCTTCTGGGGTGTCCAGCCAGACTGGTGGGGCGGGCTTCCCCGGGCCCAGTGGGCATTCCGTCGGCGTGTGCAGAGGTACTGGAGCAAGAAGACAGGTGTCAGAAGGCACGTGGCTCGATCCCCCAGCTTTCTTGGCAATGTTCTGTGTATTATATTTTCAGAAACCCAGATTTCTCAACCCAGAAGTTCCTCTTTTGCATGTGTGATTTGCTTAGTTCCCTAACATCAGATATAGCCATTTCTCTAATGACCGGGTTTCAGCCCTGCAACTAGGATGCTAACTTAGACTGGCTGCTAAATGAGGGATTGCATACCATGTAGAAATTACAATATTCGGGACAAAAGAATGATAAAAACTCCAACTCAATGAGTTTGCTTTTATTTGCATAACTCTTACCTGCAGCACTGTGAGGTGTAACCACATAAAACTACAGTCCTGTGCCGCACTCACCCTCAGCAGCAGCATGCTGTAGAGCAGGCCACTGTGAGGCCACGCTACCTCTCGTGGGGCTGCGGTGTAAGTCCAAGTTGAGGTGTGTCTGTGCTGACCAGATGCTGCCGAGGCCAGTGAGCAACCCACATGCTTTGTCCCTTCACAGCGCCGCCGACATCTACATCCGGGAGTATTTCCATGGCTATGTCAACAGGGGCCACCCTGAGGCAGCTCCACTCCGGGTGATGTACACTGACCGGCCACTAAACCAGACTGACCCAACCACACTGCAGTACTGCTGCCTGACAGAGGACCTTCGGGCCTTCCGCCCACCCACGAAGGCAGAGCTGGAGGGGCGCCGCGTAGTGGTCACCACCACCTCGCAGGCCCGTGAGCTCCGGGTGCCTGTCGGCTTCTTCTCCCACATCCTCATTGATGAGGCGGCCCAGATGCTGGAGTGCGAGGCCCTCACCCCACTGGCCTATGCCTCACCACACACCCATGTGGTGCTGGCAGGGGACCACTTGCAGGTCACTCCCAGGCTCTTCAGTGTGCCCAGGGCCAAGGCTGCCAGGCACACCCTGCTGTACCGCCTCTTCCTTCACTACCAGCAGGAGGCTCATGAGGTTGCTCGGCAGAGCCGCATCATCTTTCACGAGAACTACCGCTCCACCGCGGCCATCATTGACTTCATCTCACACCACTTCTACGTGGCCAAGGGCAACCCCATTCAGGCCAGTGGCAAGATCCCACCGCCCCCCCAGCAGTACCCACTCATGTTCTGCCATGTGGCAGGCACCCCTGAGCAGGACATGTCTTTGTCCTCCTGGCTGAACCCGGCGGAGGTCACACAGGTGGTGGAGAAGGTACAGGAGGTCTATAACACGTGGCCTCACTGCTGGGGCGCCCGCGAGCAGAGGAGTATCTGTGCTGTCTCACACGGTGCCCAGGTGAGCCTGGCTAGCAGATGGCCTCAGCCTCAGCCTCTCCTCTGTGAGGGGGCTGCAGTGTTCACCTGATAGGCTGGACCACATGGTTGGAAGCAGGGCAGGAAGGCTGAGGCTGGCCAGGGCTCAGTGGGAGGGTGGCCCTGCCTGCACCTGCAGCCTGTGTTGTCTCCAGGTCCACGCACTGAGGCAGGAGCTGAGGAGGAGGAACCTGGGTGAGGTGTCTGTGGGCAGCTTTGAGACTCTGCCAGGTGGGTGAGCAGCAGGGACTGGCCTGGCCCACCCTTCAGTCTTGCATTGGCAGAGGCCTGTGCAGCTGCACTGCCTGGCAGCCTGATGTGTGTCTCCCTGTAGGGCGGGAGTTCCGGGTGGTGGTGCTGAGCACTGTCCACAACCGCCACAGCCTGCTCAGCCTTGGGGCATCCACCTTGGAGTTCTTCACAGATGCTCGTGTGCTGAACACGGTCATGACCCGAGCCCAGTCCCAGCTGGTGGCTGTAGGTGACGCCGTGGCCCTGTGCTCCTTTGGGGCCTGCAGCAAGCTCTGGAAGAGCTTCATCCGTGGATGCATAGACCATCACAGTATCTTCCCCGAAGGCTTGTCCCTGGCGCAGATTGAGCAGAGTGTGGCCCAGAGGCAGCACTGGGCCTCTGTGGCTCTCAGAGCAGAGAGAACCTGGGCATCAGTGGCCAGGGGCCCAGCTACAGAGCACACAGCTGTGGCAAAGGCCCCACCAAGGCCTATGACCATGAATAGTAAGGCCACAGTGATGGCGAAGGCCAGGGACACAGCGCTTGGGGACACAGACCCAAGTGGGGCAGCCACAGCACAGGCGAAGGCAGCATCAGGAGGGCATTTGGCAAAGCAAGGCCCAGCGGCAAGACCTGCGACCCCAGAGCAGGGAGCGTCTGCGGGCGCTGAGGGCCCAGAGTCTGACTTCTGGCCCTTCGACTATGAGCTCAATGCTGATGATGCCATCCTGCAGGAGCTCCTGGATGAGAGCCGACAGGTGACCGTGACTGTTGGGGAGGACGGGCTCTTGGACACCATGGCCACATCTGCATCCCCACAGCAGGCCAGGCAGTACACGAACCTGCCTGTGGCCACGCTGCGGAAGCTGATGCACTCTGCCCCACAGCTGTACCGCCGTTGTACCTTCCTGAAGGAGACCTTCGAGCGAGCCTCAGCTGTCCCCCTGGACGAGGCGGGCTCCAGCCCCATCCAGGTCAGGGGCCGCCTGAACTGTGGGATGGCCTTCACTGGCGATGAGGTGCTGGTGCAGGTCCTGGGCCAGCTGGCTGGGGAGCAGGGTGCCCCCGGGAGGCTCCAGGGCCGCGTGGTGGGCGTGCTGAAGAGGAGGAGAGACGAGCTGGCGTTTGTGTGCCGGATGGATGAGTGGGATCCCCGCATCATGATCCCCATCAACAGCTCTGTGACCAAGATCTTCGTGGCTGACCTGAAGGACCCACTGCAGGTTCCCCTCCACCGCCTCCTCCAGGGCCAGGTGCAGTGTGTGGGGCACAGGCGCCTCACTGCAGAGGACAGGCGTACCCGGCTTTTCTGGGTCCGCATCATCCTGTGGCGGGAACGCTTCTACTATCCCCTGGGCATCATTCTGGAGGTGCTCCCTGAAGCCACCAACTGGGAACAGGGCCTCCGTATCCTTGCTCTGGAGCACAGCTTGCGAACCTCCTCCCCAGACTCGGCCTCCATTTCCAAGGCACTGCAGAAACACCACACAGAGCTCGACCCAGCTGTTAGCCACCGAGAGGACTGCCGCAGTTTCCTGACCTTTACCGTGGACCCCCAGGGGGCTTGCAACCTGGATGATGCCCTCAGTGTCCGGGACCTGGGTCCCTGGTATGAGGTGGCTGTGCACATTGCTGATGTTGCCAGTGTGGTGCCCAGAGACGGGGTGCTGGATTTGGAGGCCCGCCAGCAGGGCGCTGTGTTCTACGCCCCTGGTAGGGAGCCAGTGTCCATGCTGCCAGCCAGCCTGTGCCAAGATGTGCTCAGCCTCCTGCCAGGCAAGGCCTGCTTGGCCATCTCCCTCTTCATTACCCTGGACAAGGGCAGCAGTCAGCTCAGGGGCCATCGCTTTGCACCCACAGTCATCTGCTCCCGCCGGCAGCTGTCTTACGAGGAAGCTGAGGTTCTGATCAGGGAGCACCAGGGCATGGGCATGCAGCTGCCAGCTTGCCTGGACTCCGTGGAAGCCTGCGTGGTGGCCGCCTGCTACTTTGCCCAGGTGTTCCGCCGGCGGCGCTTACAAGCCACATGCCACTATGAGCCCCCAGATGAAGACAGTGCTCTGGGCTTCCGTGCAGCCCACATCATGGTTCAGGAGTACATGATTCAGTTCAATAGCCTGGTGGCTGAATTCCTGGTGGGCAGCAAGCACACACAGAGGCTCACACCCCTGAGAATGCAGCCCACGCCCCAGATGGCCCAGCTTGAGCCCGTGTTCGAGAGGCACAGAGAGCTGGTGCCTCTGTCCCTACACCTCCGCCACCACCTGCGTGGCCACAGCAGCCCCAAAGCACAGCTGCACCTCCTGTCTTCCCTTTGGAAGCACATCCAGCTCGCTGCCCACAGCCAGGATTATGGCCAGATGGTGGACCTCATCGCCACTGATGACATGCACCCCTCCCTGGCTCCTGCAGGCCTGGACCTCCGCAGAGCCCTGGGCCGCTCTGTTTTTGGCCGCTCCAGTCAGAGTGAACAGCAGTCGGTTGGCCACTACTCATTGCGAGTGGACTGGTACACGTGGGCCACGTCCCCTATCCGCAGGTACCTTGACGTGGTGTTGCAGCGGCTGATCCTGCTGGCGCTGGGCCAAGGGGGTTCTGCATACTCCTCCAGGGAAATCGACAGACTCTGCCAGGACTTTGCCCGACGGCATGCATGTGCCCAGAGCTACCAGCGGCGGGCCTACAGCCTGCACTTGGCCACTCAGCTCAAGGCCCAGCCTCAAGACAAGCTAGGCTTCGTAGTGGATGTGGAGCCAGGCACCCGCTGCTTCAAGCTACTCTTCCCTGCTAACCGAGAGACCCTGCCCGACCCCTGCCCTGTCCACTATCACTCCCTGCAGCTATCCGAGCACCCCCAGAACCTTACAAACCAGCAGGGCCTGAAACTTGTGTGGCGGCGCCGCATCTACTCTGTGCAGGAGTCCAAGCTGCCCTCTCCACTGCCTGGCACTCTGTTTGACCCACATGTGTGGAACATCGATGCAACCCTGTGGAGGAAGCTGCTGGACCTGGTGGTGGAGGAGCGCTGGCTGGAGGCAGCCACCCTCATCCAGGAACAGAGAGGGAATGAGTGTCAGAGGCGGAAGCTGGTGCAGGTGCACCGGAGCCCCTGTGGCCACTTCCTGGAGGTGGTCCGGGAGCTGGGCAGCGGGGACACTCTGCAGGTCCAGCTCTGTGCCAGCATGCAGCGGGGCTTCCTAGTACCAGCTCTGCAGCTGTGGGCTGTGGCACCTGGCCTCAGTCTCTGCCTGGAACATGTAGAGCATCCAACCAGGTGCTTCTCATACCACGCAGAGCAGGCCTCACGGGACCGGTACAGTGATGCAGACAAGTACCTGCTTGTGTGGGGACCCCTCTGTGCCCAGGAGTCTGTCACCAGTGCCATTGCTATGAATGATTCTGTTGTGCTGCAGCATGTGTGTATTTCCTGGGACGTGGAGCAGACGCAGCAGGGGCAGCTCCAGGGTGCCTTCCACCTGGACCCTGATTTCCTCGAGGAGAATTGCACTGACATTGACTTCAGCTGCTGCTACCTCTGCATCCGGCTTGAGGGGCTCCCGGTGCCACCAACAAGGCTGCCCCCTGAGCCCTGCATCCTTGGCCCTCCCCTGAGCATCGATCCTGACACATATACCTGGGTGGCTCATGGGCTGACAGACAGGTGTGACCAGGAGGACCAGGCAGACCAAAAGGAGGCCCCCAGGGGGGTGCACTTCGTCATCCACCACATGGCCATGGAGAAAGTGCCCCAAAGTGTGCTGATGTGCAGTAGCCTGTTCTCAGTGGAAGTGCTGCCCAAGCAGCTTCCTGACCTGTGAGTGACCCTCGCAGGTGGAGGCCGGGGAAAGGCTGAGATGGGTGGGCGGTGCAGGTGCCCCTGCCTGGAGACAGCCTGATTGACTTCCCAGTTTCCTCTTTCCCTGCAGCCGCAAGGAAGAAGCCATACGGGGGCTGAAGGGGGCATCCCCGCTGGTTCTCAGCATTGCACTGGGCCAACCCATCCCATGGCCCCGGGGACTCTCCCACCAGCAGCCCTCCCATGGGGGTAGGTCTGACCCCGCTCCCTCCCACGTGGGCTCTCCTTGTCCTGCATGACTGCTTAGGGGCTGCCCTGTACCTCTCCAGGAATACCTAAGAGGTTCCAGAAGCAGCAGACCTATGACATTCACAGAAGTGGCCACAAGCTAAATGCCAGCCAGAACAGGGCCATCAGACTGGCTCTGGAGAAGCCCTTCACAGTCATCCAGGGCCCGCCAGGTGGAGGCTGTGTCCCAGGAAGGGGCATGGAGGCGGGGCTCTGGGCGCGAGGGTGGGTGCTGCTCACGCTTTTCTCTGCCACAGGCACAGGGAAGACGTTTGTGGGCCTCCACATCATCTTCTGGTTGCACAAGTCCAATCAGGAGCCAGTGCCAGGCAGGAGGAGCCCCGAAGGAGAGGAGCCCCAGGGCGCCCCATGCATCTTATACTGTGGCCCATCTAACAAATCCGTGGATGTCCTGGCAGGTGTGCTGGGGGCTACTGGGGGACTTCTGGGGGTGCCGGGCACCAGCGGACCCTCATGGCTCTCCCTGCCCCCAGAAATGCTCCTGCATTGGAGGAAAGAGCTGAGGCCTCTGCGTGTATACAGTGAGCAGTGTGAAGCCACAGAGTTCCCAGTGCCGGGTGTGGGCAGCAGGGCCCTGCACAACAGGACCTCCAGGGAGGGGAGGCCAAGCCAGACACTCAGGTGCGGCCCGTCTGCCTGCCTGCTCTCGGGTGGAGTCCAGACATCGCACAGGGGTTCACTGTGACTCTGCCCCCCATCCCCACCCCAGGAGCATCTCCCTGCACCACCGCATACGACAGGCCCCCAACCCATTTGCGCAAAAAGTCAGAGAGTTTGATGCCCGGGTGAGCAGAGGAGAAGTCTTCTCCAGGGAGGACCTCAGCTTGTAAGTGGCAGGGCTGGGATGTGGAGCTGCCTGCCAGCACATCCATGGCATGACAGGCAGTGCCCTTGCAGGTATAAGACGGTCATGTGGGGTGCACGGAAGTTTGAGCTGGCCCAGCACTCTGTCATCCTGTGTACATGCTGCTGTGCGGCCTCCCCTGGCCTCAGGACCCTCAACGTCCGGCAGATTCTCGTTGATGAGGCAGCCATGGCCACCGAGCCCGAGACTCTCATTCCTCTAGTGCATTTCACTGATGCTGAGAAGGTGAGGGAAGATGCAGGGGCCAACGGCCCAGGCAAGTGTCACAGGTGTGGCTGGTCCTGGGTGCTGGGGTGTGCAGAAGTGGACACTGGGGAGCAAGATGACAGAGAACTGGGGTGCCTCTGGGTCAGGGCGATTAGGGCCATGCCTGCCTGTGCCTCCAGGTGGTCCTCCTGGGGGACCACAAGCAGCTACGGCCTGTGGTCAACAATGAGCACGTGCGAAACCTGGGCATGGAGAAGTCCCTCTTCGAGCGCTACCACAGGGACGCCTACATGCTGGACACCCAGTACCGCATGCATGAGGTCATCTGCACCTTCCCCTCCATGGAGTTCTATGGCGGGAGGCTGAAGACCTGGCAGGGCCTGCAGCGGCCGCCTAGCATCCTGGGCCATGCGGGCAAGGCCAGCTGCCCTGTCATCTTCGGCCACGTGCAGGGCCGTGAGCAGAGACTGCTGGTGACCACAGAGGAAGGCAATGAGAACTCCAGGGCCAACCTGGAGGAGGTAGCAGAAGTGGTGAGTGTCATAGGGGTCCAAGAACTCTTCCTGGAGGAAGAGCAGAGCAGAAGTTGGGGCTGAGGGAGCAAGTAAGGCTTCCATGTTTGGCTGCACCTGCCCCTCACTCCCCAGATCCGCATTGCCAAGCAGCTGACACTGGACCAGACAGTGAACCCCAAAGACATCGCCATCCTCACCCCCTATAATGCACAGGCTGCAGCCATCAGCAAGGGCCTTATGCAGGAGGGCATCACTGGAGTGACTGTGTCCTCTATCACTAAGAGCCAGGGTGAGGTTGCCTTGGGGGAGGCTGCAGGTGGGTGTGGCTGGGGTGATCTGAGGGGCAGCCTCATACTCATCCCCACCCCCAGGAAGTGAGTGGCGCTATGTGCTGCTAAGCACTGTCCGCACGTGCCCCAAGAGTGACGTGGACCACCGGCCGACCAAGAGCTGGCTTAGGAAGTTCCTGGGCTTTGTCGTGGACCCCAACCAACTGAACGTAGCCATCACCCGGGCCAAGGAGGGGCTCTGCCTGATTGGTGAGGGCTGGAGGCTGGGGGAGCAAGGCTGAGGTGGCTCACAGGAGGCTCAGAGCAGGGCTGCAAGCTGCCTAACTCTCTCTCAGGAGACCATGTCCTGCTGAGCTGCTGCCCACTATGGCGACGTCTCCTGGACTTCTGCAAGGCCCAGCGGAGCTTTGTGCCTGCCAGCAAGGTGCAAGTCCGCAGGAAGCCTGCCATGTAGCTGTGAAGACTCCCTCCAGGCCAGCCCTGAGTGCCAGAAGTGTGGGCCTGTGGCAGGCAGCAGACTGGGAGGACCGGAAGCAGGCCCCACCCGATCTTCCTGTTTGTGCGTGAACTTGGGAGGAAGGAGAAAGGGTGGGACCAGGCCTGCTTGCTTTGTTGCTCTTTACAGGACAGCACCCCAAACCCTTTCCCAGAGGAAAGGCCCTGCCCTGCCCTTGTTGTCCTTTATCATTCAGAGGCTGCCTGCTGGGGGAAGGAGGGCAGGGCGCTGCCAGATGTCTGCCCCAGTCTGGCCTGGCCTCCTCCCAAGACAAGAAGAGCTGCCTGCCCGGTACTCTTGGGTGCCAACCTCAAGATGCCCCAGCCCCACCAGGCAGTGCTTCTATCCCGGGCTGTGTGTGTCCCTTGCCCAGGGTCCTTGGACAGATGCAGTCAGAGGCTACCACAGGGACAGGGACAGGCAAGACTGGGTCTTTGACTGCTACTTCTTATCGGCATGATTGGCCCCTGCGCTTGCCAGGGAAGCGCTTATTCCACTGAGCCATCCCCCCGGCTCCTAGTCAGGAACTTAAAAGCAGGTGTCACCCACTGGCCTCTGTCACCCACTGGCCTCAGTCCTCGATTTAGTGATAATGGAAGTTAGAGCTGAAGCAGGGACTATAGGAAAAGGCTACAATTAAGAGAAAATGAGGAGTTTGCGGTTCTGATAAAGATCAAGCCAGTTCCTTAGAAAGGAAGGAGCAGATGGGGAAGGGTGGGGGATACCCTGGTCCAGGGGCTCAGACCACCACCCAGAAAACAGGACCTAGCTCTGCAGGACCAGCCGCAGCCGGCTGGGCTCTGACAGGTCACTGGATTCTGGCCTCCAGCTCTGCAGGAGTTCTGGCTGGAGGCTGATTCCATCCCTGTGATGTGACTGTCTCCGTGGTAGTTTTGGTCAGGTGAGGTCTTCCCTCTTCAGCCTGGTACCCAAGCTGCTCCCTCTCAGGGTGATGGCTGGAGGTTGCAGTCACTGCTCCAGGGGGCTGGGGCTGTAGGACGATGTCCTTCTGAATCTCGAGGGGTACTTTGCTTACTCTGGTGTCCTCTACTCTGAGGGGGATAAGATAGGCAAGATAAACTTAAGGCTGATCAACTTTGTAGACTTAAAAAAATGAAATGGTGGCCAGGCTTTATTATACCATTACATTACAGGTGGCATATGCCTGTAATCCCAGCATTCTGGAGGCTGAGACAGGAGGATTGCTGCAAGTTTGAGGCCAGCCTGGGCTATATAGTGAGTTCAAGGTCAGCTTGGACTGCATAGCAAGACCCTACCTCAAGTCAAAAACAAAAAGCACACCTATCATCAGTCTTTTAAAGAATACAAAAGGAAAGTCAAGCTTCATTCTACTTGTAGTTAACCTGTTGTGCTTTGTAGGTTCAAATGAAAACTCATGGTTTTTTGCAAAAAACTAATTTGAGCCCCTATCTCAGAAGCAAACAACATACTTCTGATGCATAGCCAGGCAAGGGCCCAGTTAGTCTTCCTTCTGTGTGGACTCTGATGGTGTCGCAGTGGCTACAGATGCCCAAGAGAGAGCTAAGCCAGAACACAGCTCACTCTTCCTTTGACAAACTGGGTCAAGCCCCTGCTCGGCTTGGCGTGTGGTTGCTCGGAACGTAGCACACCCATGCCCTAGGTTTGCATGACCATCTCACCCTCTTTCAAGTCCCAAGGTACCAAGGTAAGAGGTTTGAGGGCAGGGCCAGCTATACCCAGTGTCACTGTTGCCTAAGCCAGCAGTGACCTGGGTTCCAGTGGAGCCTCACAAGACCAGGGCTGGCATGGGCAGAAGCCATAACTGGCGGAGACTGAACCACCCCCCAGGCAAACAGGACTTCTTTCAGAGCCCTTGCCAAAGCAAACCCAGACTGCACTCCCTTGGCCAAGCGAAAGCCCGCCGCGTGGTCTGGGAGTGGCCAGCCTGTGATGCCGCCAGTCACTTAGGCTGAGTCCTTTCCTACTTCCACTTCCTTTCCGCTCTGCCTGACACATCTGCTTATGCCATATACTGATGTGTCTTATCACTGTTCTTTCATGCTGAGCTGATGAACCTGTTTTCCTAGGTGATGAGTTGCAGTTGCCATCTCCTCATTGGGGACCTTCTCAGACCGCATCCAGGTGGGACAACCTGCCTGAAAGCACCTTTCTCCCAGTGGGCCCTCTGTGCTCCCCTCCTGGGGTGGGTGCCACCGAGAGCTGTCCACACGAGGAGGCGCCAGGCCTCCTCGTGCCTCTACGGAGCTCTCTGGCAGGACTCCTTCCAATGCAAATGTTCTTTACAAATCAAGTTTCTACATTCCAGTTTTTTTTATCTCTTCACAAATTGTGTCATATGGTTGAACATGAATTTTATTACAAAGAAAATACTGAAAGCTAAGGCTGGCATTTGTGAGGTCTGGCTGGGGCAAAAAGGGCCACCTTCACCCTCCTTGGTTTTATTTATTTATTTATTTATTTATTCATTTATTTGGAGGAACCGGGATTAAACTCAGGCCCTTGCATTTGCCAGGGAAGCACTAATTCCACTGAGCCATCTCACCGGTCCCCATCACCCTCCTTGGGAAGTGGCCACAGAGACCATCAAAGGCTCACAGTGGACAGAATACTGGGCTCAGTGGCACATGAAGAGGGGTGATAGCACCACTTCAGGGATGAAGGTGGTCTCTCCAACAAGGCCGAAGGAAGCTGGGAGGGGTGGGCATGCCGCAGATCGGCCACAGCTGGAGGTTTATGTTCAGCGCTGCGGGAACAGCCCACGGCACTCAGTCCTAGCTACATAACTCAGAAGCAGCTGTGGGGCAAAGGTGACATCCTGCCTGGTCAGAAACTGCTCCCTGGGGTGCCACAGTCCCTCCATGGTGACTTGGTACTCAGGGGTTTTGGGCATTCATCCTATTCGTGGCCAGGTTTCTTCCCAGTACCAGCTACACACAGGAAAAGCATGGCAGCCCCATCCCACCATGCCAGTACAGGGGTCGATCCAGAGGTAGGTGGTCACAGAGAGACATCAAAAGGAAAGAGGTTCCTCAGGATGCCACCAGAGGGACAGAGCAGGAACTGCTGCTTGGAGGACATTGCAGGGGTGTCATGAAAGTGTAACAGCTCTGGGAAACTCCTGAGATGAGCCAGCACCAGCAAGCACAAAGGGATTTTATAAGCCTGGAGTCAGGGAGGGCTTCCTAGAGGAAGGGACTTTGAAACTCCAAAGCATGCACAGTGGGAAGCAGGGTGGAGTCAGTGCCAGGCAGCAAGGGTGTCGGAAGCATGAGCAGAACAAGGCCTGGCTCCCGACAGGGACGGAGGTGAGAAGCCTAATGGGGGCGGGTGGGGTGAGCCTGAGCCCAAGCCCCAATACCTCACCCAGCATGGGCACCTGGGCCCTGCCAGTGGAGGCTCAGGGCCAGGCTAGGGTGAGGTACAGGCCGGGCCACAGCCTGGCTAGCTGTCCGGTCATTGTGCCAGGGCCTGCAGCTGTCTATACATCGCTTGGCCTCCACCTGTCACAAGGCCATTTCCATAGAGTAGGCTGACCTGTCCGGAATGCCTGGGGTCGCCCTGTCCAGCAGGATACCCAGATGGGAGTCCCCCATGGCCACATGACACACACGATACTCCATCAGTTCACAGGAACTACGACTTGAGAGATCAGGGAAGGAAGCCCACACCCAGCCCAAGCCCAGCCTGGCACCGTGCGCCCCCTCACAGCTGACACAGCACATGACCTTCCATGCCCAGCCCCCCTCTGTCCCTGACCACCCTGCCCCTTCCAGCCTGACATCCCAGAAGACCCGCTGTTGTGACCAATGTGTGAATGGTAGCGGAGAGGCTGGTCATAGGTAGGCAGCGGTCTCTGGGCTCCTGCCCACTGCCAGCTCTTCCTGGGCTCACCTGGGGTACAGGGCGCTGTCCTTCAGGACCTGGAGGTAATTTCCTCCAGGGATTGCCTGCTGGCCATGCTGGGGCCAGGTAGAGGCTTCCAGCTGCAGGAAGGGGTCTGGCCAACTGTGTGGGGCCGGATCACCAGCCTCTGTGAGGAGGGGCCCTGGTGGCGAGCTGATGACCACCCCGCAGGAGCTCTGGCACTGGCAGTTGTCTCGGTAGACCCCAGGCAGGCTCCCTCACCAGAAGCTGTACCTCCTCGGGCTAGGGGTACTTGTATCAGCTTGTATGGTATAAAGTCAAGTTTTTAAAGTCAAGTGTTCTCCTTGCCTCGGGCACCCAACTCTAAGGAAGCTGGGGACACCAGCCTCAGGGTTGTGACTACCTCCAGTAGGGTCCAAAAAGGACCCCAAGTGTCATCTCCCTCGGTGACCCCTGCCTAGCAGGTGGTAGGAAGTGGAGCCTGGTGTTGGTGATGGGGTTGGGGGTGCTGGTCACACCAAGTCAGAACCTTGGGTCCCCACCCTGTTTTTTACCAGCCCCCACTTCCTGCCTCAGGGTGAGGCCCCACAACCCCTTCCAGTGGGCACTGTCCTGTGCTTGTGTTACAACTGCAAGATGTGCCTATCAGCTTCTGTCTTCTTCACATTCTAACCTCAGGAATAACACCTGCAGCCTCCAGCTTGCCGAGTTCTGTTTTGCTCAACCTGGACCAGCCCAACCCAACTTAAAATATAGTACAAAAGCTCCCCTAGCCACCCCACTCACTGGGTGGTGCTTGCAGCTGTCCTGGAAGGTCCAGCCTGGGGTTTCCCTGGATAAGACTGCAAGGGCGGAGCCAGGGAGGGGGTTGGGGGCGGGGGCTTCGGGCATATGGGGTGCTGGCTATCAGAAAAACACTCATAGCTGCTGCCACCTTCAACCTTAAACAGGTTTGTTTAATTCAGTGTATGTATACTCTTTATTAGTGGGTAAATATTAGAAAATCATCTCTCAGTAGGTGCAGGCAGGGGCAGGCTGGGCTTGCCCAGCTGACTGGGGGTGAGCCCCTCAGGGGGCCCCGGAGTGGTCTGCAGTGTGAGGCTGTCCCGCCAGGGCTCGTACACCAGTGTGTAGCTCTCCGCCCTCTTGACAGTGAACTTGTAGGTGCGATTGGGCAGCAGGTTGTGGACTTCAAAGGTGCAGGCTGCTACAGGGATGACACCACACTGCATGCATTCCTGCTGTGTCCGCGGCTCCAACAGCTTGAAGCGCAGCTCAAACTGTTCCTGCACTGCTGGCTGGATGGTGACAAACCAGCGTAGGCTGACCCAGTCCCAGTGAGCCACCGACTCCTTCCGGTCAAACATGACCGGCATCTTGGTGCTCAGCATGAGCCTAATATGTGGGATTTTGGTGGCCCCAATGTCAGACACCAGCCGGTGCTTGATATGCAGGCGGCCCGGCACCATCATGGCCAGGAAGTTGTCCATGACGGCTGACAGGTCTGCCAGGCGCTGCTCCACGAGCCCCCAGCCAGCCAGGAAAGGCCGTGGGTCCGGCGACTCGAGCAGGGAGTCCAGCTCTAGGCGACCCCGGTCCAGCTGCTCCAGCAGATCCCCAAGCAGCAGGAGCTGGATCTTGGTCTGTGCCGTGCCCACCTTCTTCATGCGCTGGAACTTCCAAGGGTCAATGAGTTGAAACATGGTGTTGGGCAGCACCAGGGAGTTCTGGTCGCCCAGAGCCAGGTGCTTGGGGAGGATCTCGATATAGTAGGAGCACTTCTTAAGCAGCTGCATGCGGGCATGGTGGCGCCTGAGCAGGTGGGGACTCAGGTCTGAGGCCAGGAACTCTCGCAGGGTGTTGCGGCGCTCCGTGTAGGTGCTCCAAGCCTCTGGCTCCAGCAGTTGCTGATCCTCCACCTCTTCTCCCTCCTCTGTGTCTAGGAAGGGCTGTGGACTATCCAGCTTCATCTTGTCCAGGCCCAGGCCTGCCACCTGGAAGTTCATTGTCTGCGAGCTGGCTGGGAGGGCTGCACATGAGCTGCAGTGTCAGGCTGGCTCTGCCGCCCCCCAAGCCCTCAGCCCCACTCTGGCCTTCCACCCTCCCGTGCACAGCCCTCTAGAAGTTTCTATGGGAGGACAAGATGGTTGGCTGTGTATCGGGACAAAAGTGGATGTTGAGGCCCAAAAACCTCTCCTGAGGGGCCACTCATCCTGTGCAGTGATGAGACAGAGCCAGGCTACAGTGGCCCTGGGACAAAGCCGTCTGGACAGAAACCCAGCCACAGACCAGTGGTGAGCCTGGTATGGGCCATGTTCCCCATCTGACACGGGGGATGGTGGCCTCACTGCTGTGGAGGGAACCTGGGGTTCTGAGCGGCATAGTGTACCCCCTCAGGCACTCATGGACCATCCTTACCCACCAGTTCTCCTTGGGACCCTCCACATGATGCCTCCCCATTTGCAGGGCAGAGGGAGCTGAAGACAGCGCCCTGAGGAATCACCATGGTCCCAGCTGCCGATATGAAGCCCTCACTGCCCACACTGGGGCTTGTGTGCCTGGAAGGAAAGGCCTCCGCAGGGGTGAAGCCCATTGCCCATGTTGCAGGGGGGCAGCCAGAGGCTAGATAAAAGGCCAGAGCTGGCTCTACTTGGGTGCTTGGTAGGCAAGCACTCTACCCCGAGCTTCACCTCCAACCCATTTTTACTTTTTTATTTTGAGGTAGGGTCTCCCTGACCTTGAATTTGTGAGGCTTCTGGCTAGCCCTCCTGAATAGCTGGGGTTACAGCTATCTGCCACTGTACCTGGCTTCTCCCTCCATCCCCCAAAAGACAAGGTATCTCTAAGCTCCCAGGCTGGCTTTCAACTCCTTGGGCTTGAAAAAAATCTTCCTGCTTCAGCTTCCCAACTAGCTAGGACTACAAGTGTACAGCACTGTTCCAGGCGGTTCCAAGGTTTGAGCCCTGGACCCCAGAATCCACCGTACACACCTTGTCCCCAGACCCAGGTTTCAGGTTCTTGCGTGTCAATGGAGGGGCTGGTGTACCCGCGGCTGGAAACAGCGGCGAGCAGCTGCGGGACGGCTTCACCCCATTCACCTCTAACCCCCAGGCAGCCTCTCCTACGATACCTGTCCCAGGGATCCCCGCCCCTCGGCCACGTCTGGTTGACTCCCAGCTTCCGCGCCTCCGTCCCGTCCCGAGCCCCTCTACCTACCCTCGTCTCCTGAGCGTCCAGAGCTCTCTCTGAGAGCCAGGCCACCTCCCCGGCCTAGGCCGCGCCCCTTAGAGGACGGAACCCCGCGGCAAACTACTCAGGCCTTCGGCGCGGGCCGCGCGCCTCCAGTCCCAGGTTGCCATGGAGACCGACTGCCATTGTGACGCCCCTTCCGGCCAGCTAGGGTGCAGGGCTACTCTCCGCCGCGGCTTCCCTCACGCGACTGCAGCCCAGGGGCTGTGGGGTGCACCACACCCCTCTGCGCACCGCATGGACCCGGGGTCCCTGTGCTGCGGAGTTTCTGGCCTGGGGAGGGGCGTGGAGCAGGCGCCTCGAGGCCACCCTGGGCCGGTGGAGTTAGGGCAGAGGTGGTAACCCGGGTCCCTGCGGAGCCCTCGGCCCGGCAGTCTGCGGCGCCCTGTTGGGGCTCTTCCAAACTCACTTTGGGGGCTGGAGAGATGGCTCAGTGGTCTAAAGCACCTACTTGAAACAAGCTTGGCAAAGCACAAGGACCACGATTCAATCCTCCAGCACCACATGCCAGCCAGCCGCGCCCCCTGGTGGGCTGAGCTGGCCACACACACACACACAATAAATAAATGTAATAAATAAAAATAAATAAATATTAAAAAAAAAACAAACAAAAAAACTCACTTTGGTCTGGGCCTGGAGAAATGGGGTCTTCATGGAGCCCTGAGGGAGTTCTCAGGCTGTCCTTTTCACCTGTACCCCAAATTGGACTCAGGACCTGTGGGGTCACCACCCATCACCCCCACCAGGAGCCAACCGCCCCACCCCCACCCCCCAGCGCCTGCCTCCTCCTGGAAGAAACCCCTTCCGGTTCTGTCTCCAGCCTGAGGTCAGGGTTGTTAGGGGTCGCTCAGAATAGAAACCAGATCGGCCAGGTTGGAATTTAGAAAGCTGTTTATTACTAAGCGCAGGGTCCCCGGTCTGCTCTCACTCAGGAGAGGAGCGAAAGGGGCTTGCTCAGGAAGCAGGGAGGGGTTTTAAACCCTGGAACCACACTGAATTTGATAAACAAATTTATTTATTTATTTATCTGCGGAGCCGGGGATTGAACTCAGCCCCTTGCGCTTGCCAGGGAAGCACATATTCCAGTGAGCCATCTCCCCGGGCCCAAATTTATTATCTGACACAAAATAATATTTTCAGAATCATTGTGACCACTATTCAATAATGCGTTCAGAGTCATTGTGACCACTACTCAAACTAGATTTGCTGAGGCTTTTGTTTCAGTTTCTGGTTAATTTGCACCTGAGTACCTGCAGGCAGCCTTGCATAGCCCAGAGGTTACAAGAAGATAAAACCCTTTTAGTTTCCTTTGGAAGTCATCTCTGTAATCTAACTTTGTTTACAGGGATTGGTGAGGTAGTTTTATCTTAGCAAACTGCGGTAACAGCCACTATTCACTAAACAACCTAAAACAATGGGTGGGTATGCATTTACAACAGAAAGCACAAGATTTATATTTATAGCCTAAAATGTGAGTTAACCCATTACAAGGGTCAGCTTCCCAAAAGGCCACGGTTCTCAGTCTGCCCAGCTTGGTTTTTTTTTTTTTTTTTTTTTTGCCCAGCTTGTTTGGCAGCTGCAGCCTCAGCCTGGAGAAGACCCCACTGGGAGGTGGCTTTCCCGCCCTTCTAGCTGCCCCCAAGGCCCGAGACTGAGGCCCAGGAGACAGGGCTCGGATGGGCAGGGTGCGATTCTGTCCCCTCCTGGGCTCCAGCTCAATAAATGCTAACAATAGTGGTTGGTTTTGGTTTCGTTTCTTTTAGCCAGGGAGTTAGAGTTCTTGGAGCCTTGTATGTGGTTCAGGCTGGACTTGAACTCTCAGTGATCATCTTGCCTCAGCCTCCCAAATGCTGGTCCTCTGGGAGCTGGATCCCTACTGCCCAGAAGATTCCCCTCCAGCCCTGGCCCCAGGGAGGAAGGAAGGAGGCCCCTCCCCTGCTGGGGTCTCTGTGACACAGCAGCAGGGGGCCCTCCGGCTCTGTCCAGCTCAGCCCTGCAGGAGGGCACACATCCTGGACTCCAGCTGCACGTGGAATGTGCTGAGTCCCTGAGGCCAGGCCCCTTGGCTTGGCGGGACAGGGAGTAGCTCAGAGGAATCTGTTCAGAGCCCAGATGGCTGACCCCACACAGTCAGCATAGAGGAGCCCCTCTCACGGCCAAAACAAGTCTCCTGATGACTCTTGGTTGGAGACAGGAAGCTGCGTCCCCATTAGGAAGACTCAGCATGTAAGGACACCGGTGCAAAGCTGGAAGGGCAGGCGACCGGCTGGGTCTCTGCAGAGCCCCCTCGAAGGCCTCCGATTTGGTTATTACATTCTTCTGGACACCCTGGCTCCCCAACTAGAGGAATCTCCAGGTGAGCTGGCCTCTCCTTCCCAGTGCCCCCTCAGGGTGTGGGGGGAGGCTTGGCCACCTCAGCTGCCCTGCCAGCCACAAGGATCAGAGCTGTCTGTTCAGGAAGCCCTCCATCTGCACCGGGTAGGTGGTGTGAAGGGCCCTCACGGGTGGGCAGTCTGCACACTGTCCGCCGCATGCTCCAGCACAGTGGATGAGGTCCAGGGCTGACACACGGAAGCAAGGGAGGTTCTGTGGCAATCCTGGCATGAGTGGGAGGGTTGGTGCAGGCCACTTAGGTGCTACAGGGGAAGTGTGCACAGAGAGACGGACCCTTCTGACCCTGTCCCACAGCCATGCTCAAGCGCTGGGCCGGCTGGACTCCTTACCCCAGCTGCCCCTACTAAGGGCTATCTGGATGGCAGGCAATTTGTGTCAGTATTTGGTGTGAGCCCACCTGGGACTTGCCCGCCACCCCTTGCCTGAATGCTGGCCACCTGGCCCACATCCCCAGCTAAGACCCAAATGTCCAGAGCCTCCTCCAGCCTGTGGGACCATGAATGGCCAGAAAGCCACATCCACTGCCACCAGTGTCTGGTGCACCTCCCTCCCCCGAGACCCACTGTTTCACTTTCCACTTGAGAACTGGGAGCTAAATGCTGGCTTGCTCTGAGAGTCACTGCTCTGCAGAGCCTGAGGCTGGGTTTGCTGGGCTGGCATCTGCTCTGCACAGGATTCTGAGACTTAAGAGGTTTGGCCAAAGTTTGACTAAGTCATTTTCTTTTTCTTTTTTTAAAAATTTTTATTTATTTATGTGTTTGTTTATTTATTTGTGTGTGTGTGTGGCCAGCTCAGCCCACCAGGGGGCGGGGCTGGCGGGCATGTGGTGCTGGGGGATTGAACCACAGTCCCAGTGCTTTGCTTAGCTTAGCTTGTTCTAAGTAGGTGCCTCAGACCACTGAGCCATCTCACCAGCCCTGACTAAATCATTTTCATACCAGGCCAGCTACTTGGAGCTGAGAGTGCTCCGAAAGGCGCCCTGCCCGGAGGCTGCCAGCTGAAGCTCGCTGGCCTGTGTCCTGGAAGAGCACAGCCACTCCCTCTTGCGTGGGCAGAGTGTGTCTGGCACTCCCGCCTGCCCCTGCTCAGGCTGCCCTGGTAGCTCTCACCTGCCAGATCTCCACTGCTGCACCACAGGGTCAAGGACTGGGGCACTGTGTAGCAGGGCTGGGGTCCACCCTTGGCCCTGCCCTTCGGGACACAGACCAGGAAGCTTGCAGAGGAGCTGCAGTGCCTCTTGGAGGGCACCGCTGGAGGGACCACGGGGTGGAGTGCAGCCTGGCACCGCACAGCCAGGGCCGGGTGGGGACGTGTTGTGCAGTCCTGGCTGTCCCACCTGCCCTTCCAGTTCTCGCGGACTCGGGCTCCTCGCGTGTACGCGGCTCTGGGCCTCTGCCCTGGAGCGCTGACCCATGCGTCTCCGTGGGCACCCCAGCGTGACGCCCTCCGGGGGCATGGAACCCTTCCTCAGGAAGCGCCTGACATTTCTGTCATTTTTTTGGGACAAGATCTGGCCAGTGACGGAGAAGCCAGAGGACGACAACCCGGTGCTGCCGGGCTCTGATGCGGAGCCCGTGCCCGAGCGCCCCGCGGAGCCCCGCAGCCCCCTGCCACCGCGCGCGCAACTCTTCCGAGCGCTCTACGACTTCACCGCGCGCTGCGCCGCGGAACTGAGCGTCAGCCGCGGGGATCGGCTCTACGCCCTCAAGGAGGAGGGCGACTACATATTTGCTCACCGGCTGTCTGGCACGCCCAGCGCTGGGCTTGTGCCCATCACCTACGTGGCCAAGGCTGCCCCCGAGACGCTTGCAGACCAGCCGTGAGTACCCGCGCCAGGCCCAGAGTCCGACCGCAGGGCGGAAGGGAGTAAGGCCGAGTTTTGGTGGGTTCGCATCTTCCACATCCAGGGGCCTTTATTGGATGCCCGTGGATGCCAGACTAGCACGCCCTGCTCTGGGCAGCGCGGGCTGGCGCGGGCGGGTCCTGGTGAATCGCCAGCATGGCTTAGCTCCAGGCTTTTGCGTTTGTATCACAATTTATTTTGCAGTGGGCACTGAGCCCTTTCTGCTGGAAGGGCAGGGCTGGGAGATGTCAGGTGAGATGGACACTTGCTACCCCAGAGAACTTACTGCTTCATGGGGCTGCACAGGGCTCCCTAGGGTTGGGTGGGACATTAAGCCAGGCCAAAGCGAGATTTCCACTCACCAAGCCTCCCCACGCTGGTTCAGGTGTGGAGTAGATGGCTTATGTAGGGGCAGGAGCACAGGTGGGGAGAGCCCACCCCTCTCCCCAGAGCACTCTGGGCCTCCAGGGCTGCAGGAGTCCACTGGCAGCAAGTGGCTTGTGTGGCTGCCTGGGTTGCACAGCCTGTGCCCTGGTGCCCACGCTCCCCTGCATGTGTCTTGGGAGGTGCGCTGGGCTATGTACCTCCAAGGGTACGGGAAGGGCCCAGCACTTCTGCCCACCAGCCCGGATCTGGGTCCTGCTGTATGGTAGACCTTGTTCAGAGGCCTTAAGCATTTGACCAAATTCTGAGACGTGGCCCCCGCCTGCCATTCAGCCCATATGTTGTGGTCACCGCAATCCCACTGTCAAGATGGGCTTCTCTCCCTGCCAGAGGTGCTCAGTGGAGAGCAGACAGCCTCACTGGGCTGTGTTTCTGGCCTCTTAAATGAACTTGCTTACCCAAGGCTGCTGGCCAGCTGGGCCTTGGGGTCCACAGGCCCACCAGGGTGCAGCCGCATACCTGGTGCCCACCTCTCCAGTCTGCTTGCTGATGTAGTTCCTCTTTCCCAGGCCTGGGCCCCATCCACCCCTTCTTCCCCATCACTTCCCCATCGTGTCTCCAGCTGTGTTCACGTCTCCAACTCAAGGCCAGCCCTTTGGCCGCTCTGCTGAGTGGGCTACTCTGCATCACACTGCAAGTCCCCCGGAGTCCTTCCTTGCCCTTTCCCTAAATGTTCTTTGGTCTGACCCTATCCCCTGCTCACAGTGGCTCCTCCTGTGGATGGAATAGGGGTTTGCTCTCCGTGCTGTCCTGCTTGGATGGCTACCCTGGGTGGGGCTGGTGCTTCTCTCCCTGCAAGCTCCCACAAGTGAGGTGCTTGGTGTGAAGTGAGTGCTTGGGGCGAGGTGTGGTATCCTGCCTGGGCCTTGGGTAGCAGAGGCGGGCAGTGGGATGGCATGGGACAGCACTGGCTTTGCCTCCCCCAGCGATGCCTCAGGCTCCTAGGCATGAGGAAGCCACACTTGGTGACTTACTTGGAGCTCCACCTGGGTAGAGGGCAGTAGTTGTACAGATGTCTAGATGCCCGAAGAGTGCATGCTGGAGTTCCTGTCTCCATGGGCAGAGAGGGCTGCGCCTCAGCTCAGGAGGGGGATCTCTGTGGATGAGTCCAGGGAGCTCAGGGCTGGCCTGCCCTGCTCTGGCCCCTCAGAAGGGTGCAGACATTGAGCCTTCCCTTAGGGTACTTCTTTCACTAAAGCCCCTGCCAGAAGCCTCTCCTGATCTCCTGGCCAGCCTAGACTCAGCAGCCTCCAGAGGCTTCCAGCTTCCTTCTGGCCAGCTTCTAAAGGAGGACAGACCCTGCTCAACCAGGCAGTACCACCATCCTGCCTGGCCATATGAGTGGCCCAGCACGTGCTCCTGGGACAGTTTGTCAATGGATCCCATTTCCCTGTGGACCCTCCACGGTGATTAGAGCAGTTTAGGATTGGATGGGCTCAGTGAAGCTGTTAGCCTGTGGCCGGGCTGGGGGCTCCTGAGCCCACTTGTTTGTGGCAGGGTCCCCACACTGCCATGGCCCCGGGGTAGACAGGCCCACCTGCAGAGAACAGCATCTGGGTCACCTGGTGTGGCTGGGTCCATTCTGTGCTGGCTTTAGTGGCCCCCAGGTCATCCATGAGGGCCCTTGAGGGCAGCACTGGGGCCCGAGACCCCAGCATGGGCACTGGCTCCTCCCTGAGAGAAGGCATGACGGCTATGGCCCAGGCCTGGCCAGGGCCCATGGGCCAGGTATGGGAGGTGACCACAGGCCTCTGGTTTGCAGCTGGTACTTCAGTGGGCTCAGCCGGACCCAGGCCCAGCAGCTGCTCTTGTCTCCTGCCAATGCACCTGGGGCCTTCCTTATCCGGCCCAGTGAGAGCAGCCTCGGCAGCTACTCACTCTCAGGTATGTGGGCAGCCCCTGAGACTGGCCCCTCCAGGGGGCACCTTGTTTAACCCCACCAGGCCTGACGCCCTGTCAGTACAGGCTCTTTACTCATGCCTGGCAAGCACGCCGGTCACCCATCTGCTTGTTCTCTGCTCCTGTCCTCTCCCTTCTTCCTTTCTCTTTTTTCCTTCCTCTGTTCACTCACAAACTCATTCAATCAGCAAGAATCTGTCATGCGCTCACTGTGCCCCTCTCCCCTGCCCAAATCCGTGCTGCAGACCACACTGGCCGTCTCAGGGACCCTGCAGCCAGCCAAAGCCAGGCCACGAGAGAGGTCGGGGTGGTGGTGTCTCTGCAGGCTGCTGCTGAGGCACAGTGTCCATCTCTGCCCCCCAGTGCGAGCCCAGGCGAAAGTCTGCCACTACCGCATTTGTACAGCACCCGGCGGCCGCCTCTACCTACAGGAGGGCCAGCTCTTCCCCAGCCTGGAGGCGCTGCTCACCTACTACAAGGCCAACTGGAAGCAGATCCAGAGCCCCCTGCTGCAGCCCTGCAGGCCCCAGGTGGGACCCAGGACCCCAACTCAGTCACTCGGCCAGCCCTGGGACCCAGCCCTGGCTTGCATCACCTCAGCTCCCTGCGTGAGTTCTATCCTATCTGAGCTGGTGGAGGAAGGATGGTGTATGTGTGTGTGTGTGTGTGTGTGTGTGTGTGTGTGTGTGTGTGGTGCTACTGTGTCCCCAGCTCCGAGAGGTCAGCTGGGGGAGGTACCCACAGCTGCTGCCCGCCTCCAGGGCAGAAGCTGTAGGAGGAGATGCGAGTCCCTGGTGCCTCCTGATCTTTGGGACTGTCCTGGACAGACTGTGGTGAGGGGCTGGGCAGCCATCTGGTCTCTCTGGTCTCCTAATAACAGCCCAGCCAGCGATGATAATGAGTATTTGTGGACGGATATCCGGCTCAGGCAAAGGCATCACTTAAGTCCTGAAGCAATTAGCTCCCACAGCTCTGGGCCCAGTTCCCCAGACGTCAGCGCTGGCCTCCTACTTATTCATTTATGTATGTATGTTTAGTACTGGGAATCAAAGTCAGGACCTTGTGCTTGCCAGGCAGGTGCTGTGTCACTGCTAGGACCCCAGCTGTGGCTCCCCTTATCCCAGCGTGGGCCCAGGCTGGTGTGTGCTGGGGCACAGGTGCTGAGGTCTGCTTCTGGGCCCTTCCGCGGACATGGGTGCCAGGGCCCTGCTGCACAACCACTCTGCCCAGCCTGCCCACTCTGCCCGAGGAGCAGCAGGCAGGATACTGAACCCCTCCTTCCCACAGAAGCCCCTGGCACAGGACAAGTGGGAGCGGCCACGCTCAGAATTTGTCCTTCGGAGGAAGCTGGGTGAAGGCTACTTTGGGGAGGTCTGGGAAGGCCTGTGGCTGGGCTCTGTGCCTGTGGCAGTCAAGGTCATCAAGTCAGGTGAGGCTTTGCCTGCCCAAGTCCTCCAGACAGGCCTAGATCCAGCACCCACTGCCTTCTGATCCCGGGAGCTCCAGGGGCAGTGGCGGCCAGTGGCATGGCCAATCTTGGAGCAGGATCTTTTCCTGCAGCCGACATGAAGCTGGCTGACCTCGCCAAGGAGATCGAGGCCCTGAAGAGCCTGCGGCATGAGCGGCTCATCCGGCTGCATGCAGTGTGCTCCGTGGGGGCGCCTGTGTACATCGTCACGGAGCTCATGCGCAAGGGCAACCTGCAGGCCTTCCTGGGCAGTGAGTACCCTGCGTCCCTACCGGGCAGCAGCCTGGCATCGCCCAGGGAAGACAGCAGCTGCCCCTTGGGCCTGGAGGTGTCTCAGGGACCATATACAGGACATGTGACTCAGGCTACACACTGGCCCATCAGGCCTCCAGCCAGTGAGGGCTAGGGCTTGGATCTGGGCCCGACCTGGACTTCGCTGCTATCAGAATGTAATTGTTCCAGCCTGGGCAAGAGTCCAGGTGGGGGCAGGGATGGGTCCCATTTGGATCACCAGATTCTATGTACTGTGATCGCAGACCCAGTGGGCCTCGTGCTACCCAGCTCCTCTCTGGTCCTTCAATGCCCCGGTCTTCCTTGAGGGCTGAGCTCGTGGCCAGGAGGCATGGCGCCTTGAATGGCCGTGGTGGTGAGCACAGTCGTCCTCTTTCCAGGGCAGTGAGTTCCCCACTCTAGCTTAGAGATGAGACTGAGCCCCAGAGGGCGCTGCTGCCCCTGCAGTGCCCGCCTCTCCCACCTTGGCCTGTGCCCTCCTGAGCCCTGGCCTCTGGTCCTTGGCCTCTGAACCCTCTCCCCCTGCAGGCCCCGAGGGCCAGGGACTGAGCCTGCTTCTCCTGCTGAGCTTCACCTGCCAGGTGGCTGAGGGCATGAGCTACTTGGAGGAGCAGCGTGTTGTCCATCGGGACCTGGCTGCTAGGAATGTGCTCGTGGGGGATGACCTTACCTGCAAAGTGGCTGACTTTGGCCTGGCCCGGCTACTCAAGGTCAGTGGGGGAGGGTCTGCTGGGCCTGTGGGAGGGGAGAGGCCTTGTTGTCTGCCCACTGCTGACCTCCCCTTCCCCCAGGATGACATCTACTCCCCAAGCAGCAGCTCCAAGATCCCTGTCAAGTGGACAGCACCCGAGGCGGCCAATTACTGCATCTTCTCACAGAAGTCTGATGTCTGGTCCTTCGGTATCCTGTTGTATGAGGTCTTCACCTTTGGCCAGTGTCCCTACGAAGGTGTGCTTCCTGAGGGGACACAGGCCTCATCGGGGAAGTTCAGTCTGCGGGAGAGAGCACACCTTGCCTGGGAGTTGCTGGCCCAGGGTGTGGACCCCAGGCCCCAAGATACTCCCTTGGGTGGGAGGGTCTGGCCAAGGCCAGCTAGCGATGCAGGGACTGGGCTGGGGCGTCCCCAGGGACCCTTGTCCTCTCACTGGTGCCTTCCCCAGGGATGAGTAATCATGAGACGCTACAGCAGCTCAGCCGCGGGTACCGGCTGCCCCGCCCAGCTGCCTGCCCGGCGGAAGTGTACTTGCTCATGCTGGAGTGCTGGAAGGGCAGCCCCGAGGAGCGGCCTGCCTTCACCATGCTGTGGGAGAGGCTGGATGCCATTCACAGGCGCCTGCAGCTGGGCCGCACATGACTGGAGCTCTGGGCCCAGGTTGGAGCAAAGACTGATGCTTCAGGCAGGGCATCTCCCAGAACGGTACTGCCAATAGCACAGACCACGGAGGCCACATGGCCAGGAACCCTACAGCCTTTGTGTGTCCAACTGTTGACCTGTGCTGCCATGGCTATATGTACGTGTCCGCGTGTGGACACGTGTGGCCCATGCTTGGCCCAGACACCCACCCCGGCAGCAGTGAGGTTGAAGTCCTCAGCCCTGCATGGCTGGCATTCCTGGAATCTTCAGAAGGACAAAAAAGCTAGAAGTGTAGCTCGTGGAAGCCCTGGGCCCAGTGGCTGCCCCTCCCCCGGGCTTGGCTGCCCTCTCCCAGGTCTGCCTCCCTGGGAGGGTCTGTGGAGGACAGGCCCAGGCCACCCTGTTCTTTGGCTCCCAAGCAGACCACGCAGCATGCCCTGTGCTGCTACGGGGACAGCACCACTGGGCATGCACGGGCAGCACTCAAGAAGTCTGTTCTGACTCAGCCATGGGCATAGACATGCCATACATGCCGGTTCCCTTTACCCTGAGCTGGAGCAGGAGCAGATGGGGGTCTGGCCCAGCAGGCAAAGGTGGGGGAGAGAGTTGGGCCCCGTCCAGGGCCCGAGGGTGCCAGAATGGGCACAGTCTCAGGGTCTGGCAGAGCCAGGAGACTCCCGAGCTTGCTGGAGCTAACAGGCTGGGGCTAAGGCGGGCAGCTCTGTGAAACTGCAGGAAGGGCAGGCTGGGTGGCCACATTTCCCGGGCAGGACCTGCATTTCAAAGCTGTTTCTTAAGGGGGTGCTAGTTGGGGGGCAGGGATTCCGGATGACAGATGGGGCAGAAGGCAGTGGTGCGCTGGCAACTCAGCGACGACAGGTCTCGGGTTTAAACAATGAAAAGCCCTAGATGGGCTACACTGTGGGTGTGACCCTTTGGGAACATCCAGTTGGCCCTTGATTACCCCACACCTGGGAATGATGGAGGCAACATGTTTGAGGGCTTGATCCCAGAAGCTGCAGGGTTCAGGGTGAGGGTTGGGGGGGTCATGCGGGCACCAAACACTGCTGTGGATGGACTGCTGCAGAGCTCATGGCTGGAGGTGTGTGGCAGGAAGTTGGTCGTGGGGTTGCAGCCTGGCCGCAGCTCCAGGAAGGAGGCGGACCTAGAGCCTTAGTGGTGGCACCAGCCCTGTGTGGGTCAGGGACAGAGTGCTTTAGTTTGAACCTCTGGGGGATATTGCCTGTCCCCAGTTCTTTCCTCTCTCCCAGACTCTACCTGTCTGTCTCCTGGGTGCCCTGAGGCTGGCAGGCCTCCTCTACTACACCCTTCACAGTGATGTTTTTGCTTTGAAGTCAGCCAGCCGTAGAAAGAAATTAAAACTGTGAACCAAAATAAATCTTCCTTCCTCTAAGCTTTTTGTGGCACGTATTTTGTTCAGAGACAGCACTAACTGGTACAGTCGTACATGTAGGTGTCTTGACCCAGCCATGGGAAGATATCTTAGTGAGGCACAGGGAGTCTGGGGGGCTTTGTTTGGGGTCCCCAAAGACCCTGTCTCAGCCTTGCTAGGAGCCATTTAGCAGCTGTCTCCAGAGGTTGACAAGAAGACAGGCCTCAGCCATTGTCCCCTAAAGGGTTGGAGTTTAGGGGTAGTGCTGCCCTGTGGACACCAATTTGTTCATAGTCACTGTCTATAGTCCTTGCAGTGGCTTTCAAGGGAGGGAGCTTGGAATTGAACCACATGTGCACAGTGACCCAGGCAGGAGTGGGGCAGGAGGCCACAGCCAGGATGATGCCTGAGCCAAGTGGAACCAGCCAGGCTGTAGCTCCCCCTGCGGTGAGCAGTGGACCCGTGGGCCTCAGAAGCTCCTGGCCTTGTGATGGCGGCAGAGTGGCTTGAGCAAGCCTTCGGTGGCACACCTTGGCCCTGCCCGTTGGGATGGCCAGGCTTTCACTGAGCAGAGCGGGCAGGCCTGTGCTCCTCTGGAGTCCTGCCAAGAAGTGCCTGGGGCTGCTGAGAGGTGGCATGTCTGCAGCTGGAAGAGGCTGCCCAGCAAGCAGTGTGAGGGCTGGACGCCGCCTGACCACAGGCAGGTTTATCCGTGGGCCCTGGCATGTCCCTGGGTGCCGTACCAGCCACAGGCCAAACTAGTTTGGCCCTCCTGGGTCTCGAGGAGGGCAGGGACTTTCCTGCTTCCTGGTGTGGCTTAGACAGAAGCACCCATGCAAAGTCTGCCCAGGGACACACCAGGACCCCTAGAACAGCTGGCAGCAGAGAAGGCTTGAGGGCACTGAGCTCTCTGAGCCTGGGCCACCCAGCACCATTGGCCCAGCACCCAGCCATCCAGCTCCCCCCCAGGCCTCTTCCAGGCAGTGGACCTCTGACCTCTGACCTCTGACCTCTGAGCTGCTCTCAGGCCCTCCCCCAATCTGGCAGGGACTGAGTGGGCTGGCCAGGACATTCTCAAATGGCAATGGATAGGGGAGCTCACGGCACAGTACCTGTCTGGCAAGCACAAGGTCCTGCAACAGTCCTCAGGACCAGAGAGAAACAAAAACAAAACAAAAAACTCAAATGATAATGGACAGTGCTATTATTTCTCAATGAAAAGTTTAGCTGGGACTGTAGCTTAGCAGTAGGTAGAGCATTTGTCTACCACATGTGAAGCCCTAGGTTCAGGCCCCACCACCCCAAAAACTAAAAAAAAAAGTTCAAATGAGAAGGGTTAAGAGTGCAATTCCCCTGCCACGCCATCCTCACACCCTTGGTCACACCACCCCTGCCCCCACCCTGGCCCTTGTAGCTGCCCCAGCCCCTGGTGGGAGCACCCTGGTTGGAAACCGCGGCAGTGGGGGAGGTGGTAGGAGTCTCCTGGAGAGGTCGGAGGGGCAGATTCCAGAATCTGGGGCAGGTGTGTGGGGACAGGGGAGGGGCTGGGGAGGGAGGGGAAGGGCCCTGAGAGAGGGCTGTGCCTGCTGCTGGTGGTCCTTGGCGCCACCTTGTGTCTTCTGGAGGGAGGGCGCCCTCCAGGCCGTCTTCCCTCACGTGGGCTGTTGTGTCTCCCGCTAGGCTCAGGGCTGCAGCTGCAGGGTGTTCTGGGGTGGTTCCTCATGCACTTGGGGACAGCCATGTCCTCCTGTCTTGGGCAGTCACCAGCACCCCAGTCTGCAGACTTCACAGCCTGGGCTGGGGTGCACCCAACCTTGGCCTGCAGGTCTCACCCTAAGCTCTCCTGGCTCCACGGTCCCCTCCTCGGGGTGGGTCCTGCAGCACCAAGTAGGGGAACACAGCAGCTCCCACACTCCATGTGCTAGGTGCACCCTGCAGTGACCCACCCCGTCCTGCCTGTCTTCCCACACCTGTGCACATCCCAGGCCCAGGGTTCCGCTGACCTGTGTGTGCCCCCTGTGAGGGGCTGCCCCACCTCCCACCCAGCTCCAGCCCGGCTACTCGGCCATGCAGCTGGCAGGTGAAGACCTGGCCTTGTGGGCTCAGGTGGCGCGCAGGATGGAGTCTACAGGTGTAGGGTGTGGCCAGCTCCTGCCTCCTCATGAGGAAGTGGGTGGAGGTGGCTCAGGAGGGAGAGCCCTGCCTGCCCCTCCCAATGCAGGTGCCCACAGGTGGCCCACATCCCAGTCCTGCTACTGCACTGCCATGGCGTCCCAGGGCCAGGCCCACTCGGGCCCCAAGTACGTGGGCCTCTGGGACTTTAAGGCCCGGACAGATGAGGAGCTGAGCTTCCGGGCGGGAGACCTGCTCCATGTGGCCAGGAAGGAGGACCAGTGGTGGTGGGTCACTCTGTTGGACGACTTGGGCCAGGCCCTGGCAGAGGGCTATGTGCCCCACAACTACCTGGCTGAGAAGGAGACGGTGGAGTCTGAGCCGTGAGTATCGCTGGGCCCTTGGGACAGAGGGGTACAGCAGCTTCCTGGCTGGCCTGGGGAGGTCAGGAGGGCTGCAGGCTCTGGGTCCATCTCCCTGCATCCTGAGGTCAAGGCTGGGTCCCCAGCTGGGCCCAGACTCTGGACACTACTCTCCTGGTACACAGTATTGACTGGGCCATGAAGTTGCAGGACGTTGGGGATGGGCCTCAGAGGTGAGGGGCCTCTTCTCTGTGACCTAGAGAGGACAGAGAGTCCAGGGTAGGCCATAGGGGCACTGACCAGCGGTGAGCGCAAACTCTGTGAGAGCCTCAGGCCCTTGGGAGTGTGCAGGTTGCTTACTTTGTGAACAGCTGGAACCAGACCTGCGACCTAGTTAGGGGAGCGCAAAGGCAGCTGGGGCAAACTCTAGCTGCGCGTCAGCCCTTTCCAGGCTCTGGCCCACGGTGCCTCAGCTGCCCGCCTGGCGGGGCCCCAGGGTCCTCGAGGGATGTAAGGGGCTGACATGGGCTTGTCCATGGCGCTGAGGGCCTGCCTTCTCTCCTCCTGTGGGAGGGGCCCTGTGGCCCACGCCCAAGAACCCTGACTCTCAGCACCCTCCCAAGTGAGTGCCCATGGCACGCCAGACAGGTACTTGAGTACTGTGTGCCAGGTAGGCCACAGCATGCTGGGTTCCCAGTAGGAGTGTCAGAGGCAGAGGCCCATTGCAGGGCACGTGAGACGCTGGTGAGGGCTCAGAAGGGCAGCTTTGGAGGCCCTGGTCCCGAGTACGCAGCTGCTGTGGGTGGTGCAAGACGAATCTTCCAGCTCTGTGAGCGCCAAGGGGTGGAGGCGGAAGGCCCCCACCGAGTGGTGATCTTCTATGTGGGGCCCATGTGCTGACACCTCTGGAGGGAGCTGGGGACACCAAGAGGAGAGCCGGCCAGGAGCCCCACTCCACACTTCAAAGCACAGGGTTCCTCCGTGCCCAGAATTGAAGACGGTGTAAGCTGAGCGTGGTGATGCACGTCTGTAGTCCCAGCACTCTGGAGCCTGAGGCAGGGGTCACACATTTAAGCCCAGGATGGGCAATTTAGCAACTTGAGACCCTGTCTCAAAAAACAAAAAGGCAGGGCTGGGGAGATGGCTCAGTAGAATAAGCATTTGCCTGGCAAACTCAAGGGGCTGAGTTCAATCCCTGGTTCCACAAAAAAAAAAAAAAAAAAAAAAAGCTAATTGATGGGGCTCAATGTACAGGACCTCTCCTGGGTCCCATGGCCAGTAACAAATAAAAAACCTAAGTGTGTGGGAGTGCTTCCACGTGCATCGCAGTGTGCAGTGCCCACCCTTCCTCCTCTGAGTCATTAGGACCTTTCTTAGCACCCAGAGCCTGCCCTTTAGGGTGCTCAGGCTCCAGGACAGGCAAAGAAGGGGTCCCTCCAGGGCTGGGGACAGTGAGGTGGGCAGCTCGGTCAGGACTGAGGTGGGTGGTGGTGGCACAGGTGGCCACGGTCGCAGTGGGCACCGTGGGCAGCTTGGGGGCAGAGTGCGTGTGGAGCTGGGTGGAGGCAGCGCTAGCTCAGGCCACTCCTCTCTGCAGTTGGTTCTTTGGCCACATCTCCCGCTCTGAAGCAACACACCGGCTGCAAGCACAGGGCAGTTCACCTGGCACCTTCCTCGTCAGGGTCAGCAAGAAGTCGGGTGCAGACTATGTTCTGTCTGGTATGGTCCCTCAGCCCGTCCCCGTCTGCCCAGGCTCTGCTAGCGGCTGGGCCCTCTGGCTCCTCCAGGGAGTTCTGACCCCACTGCGTAGGTGCAGCCCACCCAGTACGGCTCTCTGTGGCAGAAGCCAGAGTAGAGAGCCAGGGTGGGCCTCTGGGGTCCTCTCCCGCCAGCCTTGCCCACAGCCTCTGTCTCAGGAGGCATAGAACCCACAGGAGTCCTGGCCTGGTGTGAGCTGCCCTTGAAGCACATGGGGAGCCCAGCAGCCCAGCTCACCAGATGCCAGTGTGGCTAGGGCTGTGGCAGAGGCTGGCATTGCAGCCTGGGGGTTGGCCCCGGGCCAGTGAGCAGGCTGGTGGCTGGCCCAGTGCGTGACACTCAGGCCGTGCGGCACTACAGGATCTGGCGGCATGAGAGTGGCCGGCTGTACCTAAATGAGGCAGTGTCCTTCTCCAGCCTGGTGGAGCTCGTGGACTACCACAGGGCCCAGAGCCTGTCCCACAGCCTGCGGCTGACCATGCCCTGCTGGAAGGTAGGGCCACCTGCCCCTGCAGGACTCAAGTGCTTGGTGTCAAGAAGGAGTGCGTGCAGAGCAGGAGTGAGGTGGATCAGTGTCAAGAGGGCGGGCGTGCAGAGCAGGAGTGAGGTGGATCAGTGTCAAGAGGGCGGGCGTGCAGA